GCTATCTCGGAGTCTTCCTCAGATGTTGTTCTTGACCGACGCCTTTTGTTCATCTGTCTACGGCTTTCAACTGCAGGAAGGGGAGGACCTGAAGGATGAGGACTATGAACAAGGAAAGAAGATTCTCGATGGGTTGCGTTTGCTGTTTGCGAGGATGTTGCTGACGCCGTATGCGTATGTTGAGATCTCGGACTTTATCAAAGTTTTACCCCCGAGTTTTCGGACGGGCGAGGAGCAGGACACTACTGAGAGCGCTCGATGGATCCTGGACAAGCTGGGAGGGTAGGTGGTCCAGGGATGGTGACACGAGTGATGGTGACACGTGTTGGTTAGGTGCAAACAGAGATTAGTTGGAGATATTTTCGCCTTGGAATTGGTCCATAAGACTCAGTGCCAGACGTGTCACACTATATCGACCCGCTTGGAACCTTGTACCGATATTGGTCTCAGCGTGCCTCGAGAAGCTGAAGTGTTGGGTCAGGGGAGTCTAGACGTGAATGGGCTCCTCAAGACATGGGCGGAGCCTGAGGAGATGACGGGAAACAACCAGTATAGTTGCGATAACTGCGGGTGTAAGAGAGATGCCAAGCGATGGGTTGAGCTGAGCAGCGCTCCGCCGACGCATCTCATTTTGGTTCTCTATCGTTTCTCCTTTGATATCGACAGCTGTGATTTCAAGAAGGAGAAGACGGTTGTGTATCCGGACATGGATGACCTTAGTTTCGGTGGAGCCAATTATGAGTGCTATGGATCTATCTTGCATAAGGGCGAGACTATTCAGAACGGTCACTACATTACGGTGGGACGAAGGTCGGAGGCCCCTCGAGGGAAGTGGCACGAGTATAACGACTCGGAAGTGACTGATATTACTAAGGAAGAGGTCAATCGATTATTGAGCGGGTTAGAAAGACCGAATACAAGCGCCTATATGATATTCTACCGCATGAAGGGCTCTAATGTTCCTAGGGGGCCGATGCCTATTGTGGACCCTAAGATCACGGCAGAGGCAAGGGCAGTCGAGGCAAAGGCTGTGCATTTGAATGATTGATAGTAGGGCGCGCCCGAATGATCGATTTGGCGAAGGTCGATAATGCGTTTTTGTAAGATTATTTGAGTTGCAGTCGCATAGTTGAGGCCGCAAGAAAGTTTCATTATGTCCAATCACCGATTATTTGAGTTGTTGGGAAAGGTGGCATCTTCTGGCTTCTAGGGTGGTAGTTGGTTGTTTTTCAGGCTAGTTGAGGCAGTTGTGGTATCGGTATTACAGCCATGGCTGCTGCCTCTTCTACTTTCCATCATCAGGCGCCGGGCTCTTCCGCTGCTGCTTCTGGTGCGGCGGCTACGGGCGG